AGCTTAAATCAACATTTAGCATTATATGTGAATAGTAGACTAGGTTCAGAAAACAGCGAAGGCGTCAATTCTTCAAATCAGAAAACATTCCAGTGAGGGACCGTGGGCATTAAGTCCTTGAGACGGGTCGTCGATCGGCCAAAACAGAGGGTGACCGGTCAAATTTCGAGCCAGCATGATACCGAACAATACGCACCCCTTGTCGCTGCCCTTTCGTATAATTTAATCTTAAAACTCGCCTGTTTTTGCTGCACTATAAAACTGTTTTACTATAAATCTACACTGCACTTTATGCTTACGCTACAAAACTATTAGGCTATGAGAACTTAATTAGCTAAATTTTGTATGATATAACGATAGCTCTTCACCATCCCCATCTTCAATGCGTTGTTGAACTTAGCATAAGTTCATTACTATTTATCTTCTTCAGTTGCCACATGTGACAATTTTCAGCACTCTTTTTTCAGCAAAAAGTGTCTACCATTTCTGATTTCAGCTCGACCAAACTCTGGCTTTTCCTCACATTCAGAAAAACATTCTTTATAGCCATACAAGTACACGTTATTTTCTTAGTGTGTTGAATATCCTTCTCGCCCTACTGCAAGCCGGAATTAATGAGCCGTTTGAGTTCGAAGCAATTCATGATTTTACAGCAATGGCAAAGCAAAACTTCGAAACAATCGACTACTTTGGTCCGCTGGTGGTTGCGGCGCTGTTCGCTATCGCACTGTTTCTGATTTCATTCTTCATCATCAACTTCTTTTGCATCACCAAATACGACGACGTCACACAATTTGAGAAAGTTTGTGCTTTTTGATTCAACTAATATCCCTGATTTTTTCTTATTTATGTACTTTCTCAAAAAAATCTCGGTATATATGGTACCAGTGTTTCCCCCGACATTCGTCGGAATTTCCATTTTACTGCGCATGCTGCGCTGTCTTCAGTTCCATTCGCGGAGGGTACACTTTGTGGAGGGTATTCGACGTACAAAGTGCGTAGCTTATATAGTTGGCGAGTCAACCAGGTTAAGGAATCACCAATAATCACTCAGAGTGGTCTCAGCACTGTTTTAGTTCCTGTTTTCATTTGCCTTTAATTTCTCCAGTAACTTCTCTTACTTCGCTGTGCTACTCTGCTACCTATGGAACAGCCTAAAAAGAACTTAAAGGCACGGGTCAGGATTAGGCGATCAAAGAAACTTGCTCTGTCGATACTATGACTGGGTCTGCAACCATAGAGGTGATGCCGCGCTCGTGACTCGAAACCGCGCGGCTATAACAACCCTGGCCTAGCATTTAGGACGACGTGAGCTATGACCGCCCACCGCCGGAAGTGGTGCGTGGCTGGCATAAGGCGTGAAATCAGCTGGGTTGATTGCCGTATCAGCTGCTTTCACGGAGCCAGCAATGGTTGGCATGTCCGAGAACTCGTTCGGACATGCATTTCTCCCAACCATGAGCCAAGCCTCCTTAAAGGCAAAGGTCGGGATTAGTTGACCAAACCAACCCTTTCGGTCATGCCTGTACTTGGTTACGCACCCGTAGAGATGTTCCCACACTCAAAACCCGAAACGGCGCAGTAATAAGGCCCCAGGGCATGTACTATGTG